ACCAAAATGATCAGGAGTCGATAATCTATCGATTTATGTATGATTGAGTTAGTTTTCGTAATGAAAATCAAAAGGGCCAAAATGTGTTCAAATGCGCCCCCGTCCTTTGGAGCTCACCTACGCTTCACGTTTTACTCATTGACCTCAGTAAAGGTTATAGAGTTCACCGCAAATAGCAGCGTCATACCAACCCAAACCATACCCTATTAACCTTCGGTAAATCTAAATTACTTAATTAATTAGCGCTCACCTTGATTAGTACTCATCTTAATCAGTACTCAAGTTAATTAGTATTCACACTAATCAGTGCTCACCTTAATAAGTACTCCCCTTCAGGGTTCTGAAGCCTAATCATAGGGGTGCCCTTGGGTCCTCAAGACCTACCATACGGGGGTTCCCTTGGGTCCTCAAGCCCTACTATAAGGGGGTACCCTTGGGTCCCCAAGCCCTACTATACGGAGGTACCCTTGGGTCCTCAGGGCCTACTATAGGGGGTACCCTTGGGTCCTCGAGGCCTACTATACGGGGGTACGCTTGGGTCCTCAAGGCCTACTATAGGGGGGTACACTTGGGTCCTCAAGGCCTACTTTAGGGGGGTACCCTTGGGTCCTCAAGACCTCCTAGAGGGGGGTACCCTTGGGTCCTCAAGGCCTCCTATAGGCGGGTACCCTTGGGTCCTCAAGGCCGACTATAGGGGGGTACCCTTGGGTCCTCAAGGCCTACTATAGGGGGTACCCTTGGGTCCTCAAGGCCTATTATACGGAGTACCCTTGGGTCCTCAATGCCTGCTATAGGGGGGGAACCCTTGGGTCCTCAAGGCCTACTATACGGCGGTACCCTTGGGTCCTCAAGGCCTAGTATAGGGGGATACCCTTGGATCCTCAAGGCCGACTATAGGCGGGTACCCTTGCGTCCTTAAGGCCGACTATACGGGGCTACCCTTGGGTCCTCAAGGCCTACCATAGGGGGTACCCTTGGGTCCTCAAGGCCTACTATAGGGGGGTACCCTTGGGTCCTCAAGACCTACTGTAGGGGGGTACCCTTGGGCCCTCAAGGCCTACTATACGGGGGTACCCTTGGGTCCTCAAAGCCTACTATAGGGGAGTACCCTTGGGTCCTCTTGGGCTACTATAGGGGTACCCTTGGGTCCTCAAGGTCTATAGTAGGCCTTGAGGACCCAAGGGTACCCCTTCTAGTAGGCCTTGATGACCCAAGGGTACCCCCCTATAGTAGGCCTTGAGGACCCAAGGGGGCCCCCCTATAGAAGGCCTTGAGGACCCAAGGGTACCCCTTCTAGTAGGCCTTGAGGACGCAAGGGTACCCCCCTATGGGAGGCCTTGAGGACCCAAGGGTACCCCTCTATAGTAGGCCTTGAGGATCCAAGGGTACCCCCTACAGTAAGCCTTCGGACCCCTGGAGGTGAGTACTAATTAAGGTGAGTACTAATTAATGTGAGCACTCATTAGCGTGAGTACTAATTTAGGTGAGCACTAATCAAGGTGAGCGCTAATTAATTAAGTAATTTAGATTTACTGAAGGTTAATAGGGTATTGTTTGGGTTGATGTGGCGCTGCTATTTGCAGTGAACTGTATAACCTTTACTGAGGTCAATGAGTAAAACATGAAGGCATGAATGAGCTCCAAATTTGGAGTTTACGTGTGGAGCTCACTTTTTTTGACCCCAGCATTCTTGTTCCGTAACACTCCATTTTCTTTCCACTTTATTTAAATTATGTGATAAATATACAATTACATGTTCTTTTTTATCAATTTTTTCCTTTAACGTAACACCAATACCATTCTTTGATGATGCATCAGTAGCCAATATAAAAGGAACATTTGGTTTTGGAAAATTTAACGTACATGGTTCTGATACTAGATGCTTCTTTAATGTGTCAAATGCTAATTGTTGTTTCGCCTTGCAAACAAATTCACCTTTCTTAGCTTGAAATGTTTGTAATGGATGGGCGACTGCTGCGAAGTTCTTAATAAATGACCGATAATAGTTTGCCATTCCATAGAATCGATGAGCTTCATCATAAGTTGTTGGTGTGGGAATATCAATAACAGCTTTGATGTTATTTTGTAATAGTCGATAACCTGTATGATCTATTTCATGCCCAAGATATTCAATGCGTTCATGTATCAATGCGGATTTAGGTAAATTCAGTTTGAAATTATGATTATTTAAAGCATTTAATACAGCATGAATAAATTTAAGGGCCCCCCCCCTCAGAAACCAATTTTGTTATTTTTCATCCGATTTCAACCAAAATTTCAGAGAATGCTAGTCTTGGCTAGAATA